CTGTCTGTGCAGAGGCGCCACAAATACAGACCAATCATACTGTGTCATATTCAATCATTTTTTTTGCTCATTATAATCCAACAGACATTAAATGTATTGGAATTTGTATCCGCAAAATTGAGGTCTGAAAATGCTCCCCCCCCCCCACACACACACACCCACACACACAAAATAATAAATACATACAGTACATACAGTGTACATGTACCTTCAAAAAGATGACACGTGTACATTATGCATTACATTTTAGGATGCATGATGTACATGTAGTTCGTACATGAGTTGTCATCATTGCAATTACATGAACGTTTACATGTACATCGTATACTTTTCTGCCTTGTATCGGTACATGTACATGGGTACACACGAATTACTGGATAATTCATGCGGAGTAGCAATCAAATACATGTGTGAATTAAATACATGTGAACTGTGCACATGTACAATGTAGGCACATATGTGTACATGTACATACCGGGCACATCATGTACACAATGTACACATGTACATGTATATGTACAGTATACATGTACATTAGGCCAAAAAAAGGGTAGTTCTGCTTCCGATTACATGACATTTGAATATAAGGTACATGTAGGTAGGGAAATTATTATCTTTTTTTTTTTTGGCATTTTTTTTTGTGTATGATCATACGGAGGTGTCTGCGTGTAGTCAAGGGTAAAAAGGTGTTACATTGTAATTGATGATTTTCAGGGTTTTCCCCTCATTTTTCCCCTCAAAAAAATTAGGGTATATAGGGGCTCTCAAAATAGGGTAGGTGTGGTAGAGTAAACAGAAGCAGAAGTATTATTTGTTTGGCATGTTTGGCCTTACATGTGTACACTCAGAGTTACATTTTGTGTAAAACTGTTAAAATAAATTAGGCAAAGAGACCATGCATGTATGATGTACTGGTACATGTATGTCCATACATACCGGTAGTGTTTTTTTGTGTACATGCTGCAGTATAACGTATTACTGCAAAGCTAACACACTTTCAACTCCTTTCCACCACCAAAAGTACATGTGCACCATTCCCACGACTTTTTTACCACAGACTGTAGGGATTAAACCAGCAAAAAGCACTTTGCACACTGAACAAAAACGTGAATGCTGAAATCATAACACCAAACTGGGTTACTTTTTCTTTCTTAGAGGATTAGACTTAGAGAGGAGTGTGCATTCCATTGTTGACCGGCAGGTCACCCTCAGGTCACCCCAGGACCCTTGGGTTCTGGGGTTCAATTTCAAAAACCACTTTTTAATAGAGTCAACAATGTCTCAAGGGATGGTCTAAGAAAGTGCTGTATACAAGTATACATGTACTTCATAGCTGGTGGTAAAAAAAATTGTGGTGAAAAATAAAAAGTTTTTTTGATTAACCCAGTACACTATTCTGAATCAACCAATTTGGGCACGCTGTTAATCTTATCACGAAGGCCCCCTTCAATGGTGAAAGCATTGTGGAAGCTACTGATCAGATCATCCCTCGTGGGGCAGTTGCTTTGTACAATAGCATGCACAATGGTTTCTCCATTGAAGGGGGCGTCAAGAGTGTATGAGGATCACTTGCCCCAACTTCATGTGATACTCCCTGTATCACCCACCCAAAACTTCCCCAGCACACCAGGTACTACATACACAATGTGATACAATGTGATACAATGTAATACAATGTAATACAATGTGATACAATGTAATACAAGTGCTGGTGAATTGAAGTTTCAATGTTTGGTTGAACAAAGAAAACAACTGGATTCAGTGGAGTGGATAAGAGGCTGTTCAGATGTTTGAGATGCTCAAATCTTCCACCAGTCAGGTTCGCATAAATCTTTTGCTTCTATTTATTTTGTTTCCTTGTTGTTTGTTGTTCCGTTGGGTTGTTTGTTTGTCTTCTTGAGTTTTGACGTATACACTGTACACTGTAATATAATTATTGCCTTGAGGATGAGTTACTAAATTTATTTGTTAATTTGTTGTCAAATATAAACATAAAATGCAAACAGTTATGCATAAGTGAATATGGAGGGTTCAATTGTATACGTATTTATGTACAAACGACACATTCTTTTACATACGGCAGCACCATTGCAATGATGCATGGGTACTGGATAAGCAATATGCTTAGATGATTATCGTTATCTTTCATCTCTTGCAGTGTGAGACAGAAATCGCAGAGCTGTACCCATCTGCTATGAGTGCACAGGGAGCTGTTTCCCAGCATAATGCACGTGATGATCCTATCAAAAAAATGAAAGCCTGACACACTACCGGGTACGTGTCACGTTGTGTCTAAATACTCTATGAGCAACCATGACTTCTTCAACCTGAGCTACTGAGTATATTTCTGTCCATGGCACAATGTAAAACATACATTATAACATGTACGGTACGTACTGACGTACATTGTGTAAGTACAAACATTTGACTGAAAATTCAGGATAAACTTACCCCCAATCAAAAAAGAAACTAGTCTCTCATCCCGAAAAACTTCCTTTTTTCCCCCGGCCGCCCCCTCTTTTAATTTTTGTTTTAGTTCATACATTTGCAAATTGCAATATATGTTGCGCGTACTGGTATATGGTCAATATTGTCTTTTTATTTGTATCCAACAAAACTGTAGCTACATGTATGTGAAAGGCAACGGCTCCTTTGGACACAACTGTATATCAGCAAAAGAGTCGAGAAAATTAAAGAATCAATCCGCCATCTTGGAAAATCAAGGGGGGGGGGAAGAAAACACCCACCTCCTTCATTTTTTAAAAAGGTTGGACAAGAAACTACAGGTACTTAATTGTTTTACTCAGCCTTAAAGCTATAGTCCATCATTTGTAATTTGTGCATTTTGTTCGTTTGAAGCAACAAAAGGGTTCAAAATCTAATGAAGGATACTGAACAACTAACCTGATGAAGTTTCAGCTAAGCTTCAGCTGTACATTCCGAGAAAAACAGCATTCTAAGATCTCAATTTCAAATCAAAAGTTACTAAATCATGTTTTGAATTGTTTTGAATTGCAGCTATACGCGACGTAGCGCACTGATCCGACGAATTATAACAACCGCGCGCGCGTGTGCGTCGTTCCAATACTTGTGCGCGCTGCGCTTAATAACAAAATGAACTACTAATTTAAATTTTCCTACGGTGCTTCTTAAGAATCACCGTTGGAAATGCCTTCTTTCGTTGATTACTTCAAAATGACAGCTTCCCAGAAGGAATAATTTCACAGGGAGTTTAGTTCCCTTACTATCTTTCAACCAAGTTTGTTTTTCAACAATAATTACGCCAGTTACTTTTCGGATGGCTGCAAATGATGGACTATAGCTTTAAATTAAAAGTAAACTCTCGTGTACGGTAAATAGCAGCTTAAACTAATTAAGAAGTTCATTGTAACATCCACTGTGAATGCAAAAAAGACACAGTCTAAAGGGCTCAGGGTAGTTATCCCAGTCAAATTTGTGGGCCAAGGTGAGGCTTATGCAAGCCTAATCCACACATGACAGTGAGCCACTCAGTCAGTTGAGTCAGTCATTTGAGTCAGTCAGAAAGATAGTCCATCAGTGAGTCAGACACAAAGAGGATTATAGGTTGGTCCTTCAGAGACCAGCAAAATGTAACAATTTCAGGCTTGCTCTATTATCCAATTAAGAGACACTTCCCTGCTATGGGGAAATTTTCTTTGGCAAACATCCATGCTCGCATATTAGTCATGTATAACACATCCTGAATGCAACATTTGCCACATGCCACATCACAAGATGCAGTACAATGTCACCACATCATCAAAAACGAATTTACAAAAAAAAAAAAAAAATCTAATTTAATCTAATAATCAATGGGTAAAGCATTTATTTTTCTGGCAAATATGGACAGACGTAAATTTCTGACTCGTGTCCATACAGGTATCTGGACGGGTCCAGGACAATCCTTTTTCTGAATGCTTTGAAGGGAATATTAAAGGTCCAAAGTGCACTGTGCCCTACATATACTGAGGAGTACGGTATTTGCCGACGAGATATTCATATTGATAACATCCTTACAGGCACATTGTACACAGATGAAACTAAAGCATGTCCAAGTGCAGTGTCAAGTGTACACATACAATGACAAAACTGAAATGAATCTTACCACAGAAAAGTGCATTGGGAGCAGCAATTCCATACTTTCAGGCATTATTATGATCATTTGCATTTATCCCAAAAGTTACCTACCAATTGTTTATTATATTTATTACATTTATTTACCCAGGGTATGCCCAAACAGTTTAAACTGGTTTCCATTGGGGCCCTGCATACAATAAATAATGACTACAAACATGTATACAGTTCATTACAACTACAATACAATTCAATACAATGGGATAAAACATTAATCGATTAATGCATCAGTTGTTAAGCAAATATTATAAATACAATATATTTTTGTAACTATTATAACTACATACCGACATACAGTGTAGGCTTTACTATAACTAAGGTAGATTCTGTGTACACAAAGAATTTGGATCTATCAAAAGTTGCGGAGGCATGTTTTGAATTGCGCCGAAGACACGTTCTCATCCAGCCAACTGTAGTTATGCGATGTCGCAAACTGAACCGACGAATTATAGCAACCACGCGCGTATGCGTTGTGTCAACGGTTGCGCGCCTCGCCGAATTAAAAACTAACAAATAACAGAAATTTCCAACTTCATTGTTTTCTCCAAGATGACAGCTTGCCAGAAAGAATAATTTCACAGGGAGTTTAGTCCCATTATTATCTTTAAACCGAGTATGCTTTTCAACAATAATTATGTCAGTTACTTTTTGGATATCTGCAAATGATGGACTGTAGCTTTAAACATGTACACTCACAACACTTGAAAATCAAACATTACCCAAGGGATTAAAAACAAACAAGTACCGACAACTTCATCGAGGAAGTGTTGAGTTATAAACCGAGCTTTACAGCCAGACAGCGAAACCGAGAGCCGCAATGGAAAGGAAGTCATTCTGGTACTTACTTTCCAATGATTTCACAGAGTTCATAGACATCATCAAACAGAAGGTCCTCGTCCGTCATCTTGAATGTATTACTGTGTGCTTTAGTCTAGTGCATTGGGAATGAACAGAATTATCAGAAAGTTACATCAAAATGAACATTTAAAAGCAATGATGAAACTGCTAACTTTCCGGCACAGCTTCACCATGTTACAACATGTTGCAATTTAACTGAACTGTTTTTAGTCATCCTACCCTGCAAACAGTACAGGGTGGTCGGGAAAAAAAGTACATTTTCAGAAGCAGATTTCTCAAAATTGGGGAAACATGTTCAACATTTTTTTAAGATATTCCTAAACTACAACATATTGGTGGTATATGGTGAAAACGGCGTTAAAAAAAAGCCTGAATTAAGAAATTGAGGCAGTTTACAGACGCAATAAAAAAAATTAATAAATAAATTTTTTAAAATGTCCACACGCATACAGATATTGGTCGTCATTATTGCAGTTCTTTGTGCAGGCAGTGCTATTGTTCTGACCATGTCTCAAAGACTTCCATGTGGACAAACTGGTTTTCGACTGTTTTTCTGTAAATGGCCACCATTTCTTCATTTGTAGGCTTTATTTTCAACACCGTTTCACCATATACCACCAAGATCTTGTAGTTTAGGAATATCTTGGTAATTTTCAAATACCACGAGTGCATCCATTAGGTTCGTACACTGTATGTAATTTTTTTTCCCCCATGACATGACACAGCCAGCACTCTAGAGATAGGCCTACCCTGTGACCTACTGTACATGTATGGAATGACACATTCAGCCAAATACACTTTCAAGGTTAAAGACAAACAGTTAACATCCTGCAGGAGAGACTAGGGTTTCTGTTTTCAAAATGTTATTACTGGACAAGTGCAGGAGTAATTGCAGAATACCCCGCCACTCGGAAATACACCCCTAAATTCTCTGGCTACGAGATTGGAATCACTGGAAAAGAAACAATTCAAGTCCATGCCAGCTACGCGGATACTGAGTGGGGGTCTTCTTGAGAACGAGGCAACACAAAAGGAATGGGAGTTGCTGAAAAAAATTCTAAGTCCAAACCAACCACCCTGTTGCCGGGAATGCCGGCTACGCGGATGCGAAGTGGGAGTCCTTATATGCTTGAGAACGAAGCAACACAAAAGTAATGGGAGTTGCTGAAAAAATTCTAAGTCCAAACCAAATACTCCGTTGCTGGCTACGCGGATACGGAGTGGGAGTGCAGTGGAGCATGATGCATAGTACATACATGTAGCGCTGAGAAGTTTATTGAGGGCAATCAACCGTGACTCCGTAGCCTGCTACAAGGTGCATAGATCGAGTGGCGGGGTATTCTGCAATTGCGACCAAGTGCCTATTAGAAGCCCACCTCATGAAAACCCTTTCAATGTTTTTGGTTAATACTTTGTAATCAAAATAATTTGATTCCTGTTCTAGGCAATGTATGTTTAGACAGTTTGTGATCAAGTAAATGTACACGACATGTACTATGTGTATCAGGCAAGGGGCCCCCAAAAGCAGTTGAGGGACAGTTAATTTAAAGGCTCCCAGCTATGACTGAGGACTGTGATTTTAGGCTTGTACAAGTTTCCAAGTTCAAAGTTGTATAAAACTGGACTAGCGTGACACACGTGCATCATAAAGGTAGGTACAGTATGCAATTTTAGGTGCATGAATTTGCAGGCATGCAACTGAAAAAAATAGAGAAAAAAACGAGTAAACCCCAAACCACACAGGACTTTGTACAGTAGTTTTCAATTTGGAATGGCATTCATGAGAAGTTTTAAAAAACGAGGAAATCAGTAGATCCGAGGAAAAGCTCCATGCCTGAATTTGAAACAATTTAGGCCTACCAAAACTAAAAACAATAAAATTAAAAAAGAGGGGAAGGGAGTTTATTAAATAACTTTTCCACACATTTAAAAAAAAATTCAAACGAATGACCAAGCCCAGCATGCCCAGAAATAATAACATGGACATGGTCATGGTTTGACCCAGAACTGAACAAAAAGGCAATTTTACAACCCCCCCCCCCAAAAAAAAATTACTTCCCCCCCCCAAAAAAAATACTTCCCCCCCCAAAAAAATACTCCCCCCCCCCCCCCAGTTTTAACACGTTAATTACCGATTAAGGCCCGAGTCTCTGAGATAAAAGGTGGAGCTTTATGAATATTTGTGCCTCGGTCTAAAATAAATCATGTTTGTCAACCCATGGAGGAAGGAATATTCCTTCCTCCATGGTCAACCCAACGTATGCAGCTGCATGCAATGTGCTGCACACACACGAAGAATGACAATCAATGTTAAGTTGTTAACCAATCCCATCCCGAATTTGACATTACTTCGGTCGCACTCCACCCTCAATTTGACAATTAAGAAACCTTCAAAAATACCTCCAACAACCCACCTTTGACCACAGCTATATTCCCTCCAAGAATCCTGGGCTAAAAAGGGCAATATCCTCATAAAATCCGCTGAAATGCCGCTATTTTCCCAACGTAAAGCTTCCGATAGGATGAGCACTTGATGGCACCTGGCGCGGTAAAGCGCATGCGCAGTGGCTGAAAGGTCAAGGCCCTTCAATCGAGCGGGCGAGGTTTGGCGATAGGTAGTAGCGCCCTCTGTTGCTAGAGGATTAATCAGTTCAAAACAGAATGAATGTTTTGATTTTGCCATTTTTTACGTGGTAGTCCTAGCTACAAGCCTTTACCAACATTACCCCAACTTAATATTACATAACTCTTTTTATAAACGCTTTTTTGTAAAATTTATTTCTGAAATAGGCAAGGGCAGGCTGACGTCATCCGATGAAAACATCTGCACACCAGTTTTCATCGGTTCCCCGGGCATGTGTTAACCATTCAGCACTCCAGACTCAAGAACCATTGAATTTCAAGAACATTGGTCTGGGAGCTAAACCAATGTAAACTATTCCCATATGTCCGCACCCACCTATAAGCACTTTTACATATTCAAACCTCATCTAATGTAATTAAAGGATTTTCGGGCAGTTAAAACCTTGATCTCGGAAACAAAGAAAAAACAGATGGAACCACACATTCATTTAACAGGTTCTAAAAATGAAGTTTATTGGGCTCATTAAATGAACAAAACCTTCACACTATAGTTATATTAATTAAACAATTGTCAACAACACAGTAGTTTTCATTGTGATACATGTAAAACACACTAGCTAGAGAAACACATTGTATCTAACTTTTCATGAAGCGAGACATTTGTACAATATTATGACATCTAAACCTTAATTACTTCTAGTCCATGAAAAAAATAACCAACGACGGGTTTCTCTCAACATTCTTTAACCTCTTCTTCTCTTTTTAGGTCTTAAAAATTGTGGGATGGGCTATCAACTCCAAAGTAACGCAACCTCTCACTGTTTGATAAGTCAGAAATTCCAAAAACAAGCGCCAGTCACCAACAGTCAGATCATATTTTTCAGTAGGCACTAGACTAGTCGAATTCCATCAACAGACAAAAGCAGGTGACTAATAGGCTCAGCTGGCTTACCAGTCTCCTACATTCAAAGCATAGCTGTATCAAGTTACATAAACAGTCACAGCCAGTCAATTCTGCTTAAGTTATGTAGGCAGGGAGCACTCAACTGTTAAAAACAGTCACTCCATTTTCACTGCTGGGATGGCTTTGTTGAACAGTAGTTCAAAGACATAGCCAAATTAGAATGTTGCTAGTACTTAAACTTACTTCAAAGGAAACAACTTCTAAAAGTTACATTTAAGTCTGCAGTACGAATCTATATACAAAAGGAGCTAGACTTTAGAGCCAAGATGGTATTATTTTTTTATTTAAAGGTAGGGGCTGGTAAATTCAACAAGTTTAAATCCATATATATGTAACTGTTAATTCTGATGTAAGAATGTGTACGTTTTACTCTTTGTCCCTCCGCTAGATGCACTTCTGATATTTGAGCATTTTTTTTCCGTATCAAATTTCGGTGCTTAACAGTCATGAAATCGGGCCTGAAATTCTCCAATATGACTAGACGAACGTGATCTTGGTTCTGGCGTTGTTGACCTGCCACACGTTCAGCTCTTCGTACGCGTCCAGGGCCTCCTCAAACTGGTCGTTGGTGAACCCCTTGGCCAGGCAGGTCTGGCGGGCGTCGGCAAACTTGACGCTCTGCTTGCCCGACACCATCTCCCGGATGATGCTGAAGACGACGTCCTCTGATCGCTGCTTTCTGTAAAACCAAACAAGTTAAAAAATATTAATAGGAGAATAACAAGTTTAATCCCCGAGATTAATTTTATGCAGAATATTAGTATCAGTGCTATCTCGATATTATCGATTCACAATGCAGTGCGCAACCAAGAGTTTGCCACGGAGAGTTCATTTTTCCCAGTGCATTGTGAGAGATGATCGACAAATTCGCAGGGCAGGAGATTTGAAATTGTTAGTTTTTTCCGGTCAGTAGTTTCGTAAGCGTATGATTTGAGCATCTGTTTGCCCTTTTCTTTTCTTTTTATCAATATGTTGGGGTTTTTTTTGTAAAGCAACAGCACACTGTGCCCAATCTATAACAAATTAGCTGAAGTCTTCTGCACTGCATGTGTATCTTTTGAAATCATATTGGTGTAAAATCAAGTGGTGACCTAAACTATTTAATGTGGGCAAAATAACATGCGAAAGATGCTAAAATGTTGGGTTGCCCGTCGGTGAGACGTCACAGGTAACATAGTCTATACCCCCAAGTGGAGAGTGGCTACTGTAGTAAAGTGTCTTGCCCAAGAACACAAGCACAATGTTGAACCGACATTACCGGCACACTTATTTTGGACACGAAAATCATTGGTGAACACAGTGTGCTAGAACTTTAGCACAGTGGCCACCTGTCTACAGTGGTCACTTGAACAAAACAGAAAAGTGAATTTTTTTAAATTTTTTTTTTTACATCGGAGTGCCCACTTTTGGCAAGGAGCTGTCAAGAAAGATACCAATTCATGAATGACAAAAAGTGACAGAATTTGGGTCATGGAGGAAATGTTCCCACCTTCCTGTGACTTCTTGTTGGCCATGCAGGGATTCCTTGGACATCTCCATCAACCTCATCGCTTCGTTCACGTCTTCTTTCTCCACCACATCCACCAATCTCAGACGAGCCTAAAAGAAATCAGGATTAGTATAATGTTAGGTTGCTGAAAGAACTCCTCAATACATAAAGGGATTATGGGACTATACCATAACATCTCATAAACTGAGAATTCATGAGAAGTAAAAAACGAGGAAATCAGCAGATCCGAGGAAAAGTTGCATGCCTGCTTGCGGCGAGACTTACAAGAGCTGTTGACAGACGTAGGATTGCCAGTAGTGTCCTGGCTGACGTGAATGTAGTATCCTTGCTCCCTCGGGCCTCTTTGCGCATTTCTACGTATGCTCCCGTGATGTAGTCCGTCAAACTCTCCGGAATGGCTGGTACTTTGGTCTGGCAGAGAGCAATGTATCGACTGCAGACAAGGGTGAAAATTTTTTTTTAATGTTTCAATGGAATCCTTGAACGGAATCCTGGCAAACGTCCAATTTAACTTCACTTTCAAACTTTATACTACCGTTTCTAAGAATATTTTAACGCCTTTTTGTTTGCATGCTTATGCAAATTTTCATATTTTTGAGTAAAACTTCAGTATTACGGCTTCAGAATAACAAATTTGCCCAAAGGTGTCCTTGTTACTGTTGTCATTTCTCTTTCTGAGATGCTTTGTGTCTATTTTCTACATAACTGCAACTCAATGAGAAATATTTTCTCATAAACATTTTCGCTGAGCTGCATTTTGAGTTAATCTTTGTGCATATTGTCCCCAAATTTTACAATGTGGGCCTAAAATGACATGTCAGCAACAGTGACCTCAGGTGTTGGGAAATAACAAGGAAATTATAAATACAGTATACAATAAACACTCGAGATGAACGGAGGTACCGGTGCGGGTATTTCGAGTTACAGGGTTATTCATGTTCATAATGTCCGAGAGCTTTTGTCTAGGACTTTGACTATTATAACAACATGGGAACATACCGACAATACACTTAGCCGTAGCTCTAGATGACCTTATACATTGTAATCAGCTCTTGCAAAGGAATGGTTTGACTTCAGGTCGGCCTCCGTTTTCATAAAAGTTGATCGACAACAAAGTGAGAGCTCAAGAATCACCAGCGATTGATAGACATCATGGTATATTTCTGACTTACCGCATGAGGTTCATGTTGAGCGGAGTAAACTGCATCGGTGGCTGTGTGTTGTGCTGGTGTACATAGGTGATGTGCTGGGCAAGCCTGGACCAAAACAAATAATGGCACATAGTCAGGATAAGGTACAAAGACAGATATCACTTTTCATGATACTATACGCTTTGAGAAAACAAAAAAAAAGTGTACAATTTTTTGGGTCTCATAACTGGATTGTTTTGCAAAGGCATGCAAAAGTATGTATAAGCCGGTTCAGCATAAACAGCCCTTTATGATGCTGTACAGGGTCTGATCGTATATGACATCAACTACCACGCGCCCATCCGGTTTCCCAATGATCGGTCACCATTGCAGTAGGCAAGCATTTGGTTCGCAACCACAATGCGTTGTAAACTGGACAGTTTTTAAGGCGTATTTTCAAGTTAAAAAACTGGAAATTCTTTATCAAATGGCATAACGGTCAGTACCTGTGCCGTGTACTGTTGTCACTGTCATGCCTACCCAGCACTAGGTGTTGGCTCTGTTTTTCTCACAGTTTTTGCCGTCCATTACAGCTTTAAAGGCTTGCCTACTACCTACTGCGCGGGGTGCTGAACGATCTTTGCCTACTACAATGGCGAAACTGACTTTCCAATCCCCGGATGTAGACCGGGTCACAGGGGTTAGTGAGAGAGCCCTATTACGGCATTCAGGTTTTCCAAGTATTTGTGATGTGATCAAGCTAAATGAGTCGATTATCTACCCTGGTCGTTTTTTTTTCTTTTACAGGTTTTGAAAAGAGCACAATCTCAGCATAACTGCTGTGAAAACCCAATGCATGTACCATCTTTAGTTCAAAAATGATGAAAGTCGGAACACCAAGAGATGTGATGAAGTGATGTGATGAAGTGGTTCTATTTTGGCCTGAATCTCCAAATGAAAATTCCCGACAAAAGACTCATTTAGCCTGATCACATCACATTTATGCAGTAAGAAATTGTTACATTGGCACTGATTTTGTCTGCAAATGACTTTCTGTCGTTTGTCTCCTACCTGAGATCGTTCTCCCTGTCAGGCTTATCCTGGATCAGCCAGAGCAGATCAAATCGAGACAGCAGAGCAGCGGGGAGCTGGATGTTGTGCTCAATAGACTTCTTGGGGTTGTAGCGTCCGTAGGCGGGGTTAGCGGCTGCTAGGATGGCCACGCGGGCATTCAGGGACGTCATTATACCAGCCTGTAAGAGAACACAATTTTAAGCCAGACCTGAAATAATTTCACAAGTAAGTTCCGATATCATGGCACCGCTAAGCACGCAGGTTTCTGCTTACAAAGCCTCTGTTCAGTTCATTTCACAGAGATTGTAAGCAGTCAGCATAGGCTTGAGCTAGCCAACTTCAGTTAGTTTCAAAATTGTGATGAAACAATAGCTTTTTCCCTTTTTTGATGTCAGCAACCCTCTGACAAATTTGTTTTGTTTTGAGCCCAAATGGATCAACTTTGCGAGCAGACTGGCTCCTAGTACATTATCAATACTGATTGTGAGGTGGGAACTAGCCTACCTCGCGAAAATGAAAATATTGTCTGGCAGCCAAAAATTCAAAAGTGGAAAGGAATAATTCAATAACTCGAATTATTGGCTGCCACTGTTCTCACGGGTTAGGCTGGTTCCTGCCCCACAGTCAGTATCGATAATGTACGGACCGGGAGCCAGTCTGCTCGCAAGGCAAATTTTTGTAGCCAAAAACAAAAACCTTTTCTCAGAGGGCTGCAGGCGTCCAAAAAGGGGGGAAAAAAGGGGTTTTCTGTTGGAATAAAACATACAAGTGGAAAAATATTAACAGAAAAAAAATTTGAAGCGTACGGGAAACTTTACTTTTAACGGGCCCTTACAAGTTCTTCACTTTACCTTTGCAATGGATATAGTCTGTTGCTCCATGACCTCATGGATGGCTGTCCGGTCCGTCTCGTTCATCTTGTCAAACTCATCGATGCAGCAGACGCCCTGGTCGGCCAGCACGAGGGCGCCGCCTTCCAGGACCATCTCGTTGGTGATTGGATCCTTCATGACGGCGGCAGTCAGACCGACGCCGGATGAACCACGACCAGTGGTATACTGACCTGAAACAAACAAAAAAACAAATTGTAAAGATGTGAATCCAATTTTAATTTGGTAATTTTATACCAAACTTTTACACATAATCTACATTGTTTAAAGAAGTATTGTCTTTGTTGAACAAGCGTTTGACACCCCCCCCCCCAACTGCAAAAATGTTTGTTGTAAAACTGCTACTTTTCAAGCAATAAAAAGTTATTTGCTTTTGAATAATATTCTGAATACCAAAAAAATTGACTCGCGTATAGTTACGGAATAAGTACTTAATAAATTCTGAATTACTCGCTGCCCGAAAACGATTCACTTCTCGCTAGGCAGACTGGTTTCTGTCACCCTATCAGGATCGATAATGTAGGGACTGGGAACCAGTTTACTCGTAAGGTGGAGTTGCTTATGTGCAATAGCAAACCAAAATAAAAGCCCTTTTTTTTTAAGAATAGAAGCTTTTTTCAGATAATTGAAGACCCCCCAAACAGAAAAGCAAATGTAATTTTTTTTTTTTTGAAATAAAACATACAAGTTTGAAAGTTTTCAGGAGAAAGAAAACTTGAATTTGTCGAGGCGCATGAAAAGTTCATCTTTAATTAATTTGGGTGACACCAGGAGGTTCCATGCAGGGTGTGGGGTGTTTAAGACTAAAGTAAACATTTCTGCTTCAACAGCTTCTTACTTCTTGGTGCCAATCTGTCGATGTAGGACAGCAGCTGGGACTTGGCCACACCAGGATCACCCATCAGACAAATGTTGATGCTCCCTGAAGCAACAAATATAAAGAAAAAAATATTAACAGAGACTTGTCTGAATGAAAAAAAAGATGAAAAAGCCGAAATTCTGGCTATAGCCAGAAAAAAACTGGCATCCCTGAGAGAAACAAATTATGTAACACATGGTGCTCAAATGATGTTAATGATGACATTACATTTTCACAAATTTGACCATTCCAGTTCAAGTTCATTCTATACTGTTCCAGTATCCAAGATGTATTATATTTGACTTTTACAACTCTCTCATCATCAATGCAGTGCAGTTGTACGTGGTAATCCGTAACACAGTTTACCCACCTCTAATCTTCATCCCTTTGGGGTTGCGATCCACCCCGCCTACTAGCAGCAGCAACAGTGCCTTCTTAACGTCTTCGTGGCCGTAGATCTCTGGCGCGATGGAGCAGGCGAGCTTCTCGTAAAAATCCTCCTCTGTTTATTTACCAAAACAAATTGTGGGGGAAACTTGACTTTAAAATGGTGGATTAATGGTGATTTTGAAGAACCAATGGTGATTTTGAAGAATCAGTACTGATGTTGAAGAGGCAATGGTGATTTAAGAATCAATGATGATTTTTAAGAAAAAATATGATTTTAGGAACCAGTGGTGATTTTTAAGAATCGATGATAATTTTCAAGAATCATGGTGATATTTAAGAATCGTGGTGATTTTTAAGAATCTATGTTGATTTTTAAAAACCAATGGTGATTTTTAAGTGATTTTTAAGAATCCCTGGGGATTTTTAACAATCAATGGTGATAATTGTTAAGAATCAATGGTTCTTGCATGCAATATGCGAAAACAGTGTGTGTACGCAGTGCGTGCCACTCACGGAGCTCTCAACAAAATTCTCCAAATGCAGTCTTGGAGCAAGACTAACATTCGTACAGCGCCCTCTACTGACCTGCGATTTGTTGGATTTCATCGTCGGTGAGCTCCTTCAGGCTCATCTCCTCCTCCGCAGCTTTGTTCATCTTCACAATGTGCTGCAGCAAAAGTAAAAGACAGATCTTGTGAGCATCAATTCTTACCAAAACGTTTAACACAATGATTTGCATGTAAAAAAAAATGTTGGAGCGCCGTATAACTTTAACATCACTTTCAAGGATGAAAAGCAAAATACGCTCCCGTTTGCTGTACGCAGACTGGGAAAATCAGAGACATGACCAGCGTGATGTCCTGAGAAATAAACCATCTGCTGATGTTAAAATTCTGACCAAAAAAAAATTACACTGTTCAAAGATCCCATCCTCCATAAGCTAATATTCAAGTTTCATCTTTACATTTTAGATTATTTTTTTTAAAATATTTTTAACTGGGTAGCCCAGTCAGTGGAATCCACTGGTCTCCCATGGGGCCCAGTAAAGAGAAGACAGTGTGAAGAAATTACAGTTTTAGATGTCGGAGGAAAACCCCAGAAGAATATTCTGAGGCAAAACCCATGGAATCAGGCAGGGACTGAAAAACCAATCCACATATTGGCCCAGGTGGGAATCGAACCCAGGTCACAGTGGTGGAAGGCGAGGAAAGTACCGCTACGCCAACCTGAGTTATGTCAATCCTGCATTGTGAAAGGAAGTGTAATGTCCGTGACAGAGCCAATTACATGTAACCATGACATCTAATTAATGGTTTCGAGAGATGATCCGAAACTCCTAGTCTGTAATCTCCTTGACCATAGCTAAATGATGGATAAGATTTGGAAAATACATTTTAAAGTTTATTCACGAGCTCTTAAAGATGTATTCTCCATGCAATTTTCGAGTTTCACCTCGAAAGATAGATTCTTTTTTTTTTCAATTGCTTTTTTCCTAGAGATATTAAAGTTATTCACTTTTGAATGCAGGGGTGTGAGTGACCACTGATAAAAATAGCTGAAAACAGCTGAAAAAGGTTTGAAAAAGCTGAACTTTGGAAATCTCCTATACTTTTGTACACAGCAAGTGAGGGAAAAAAGCTGAAATCCAAAACAAAAAAAAGCTGAAATCAGCTTTTAAGCTGAGATTTCACACCCCTGTGAATGAGACACTGAATGTAACAAATCCATCGACGATTAGTTAGTAAATTATTTCTTCACAAAAAAAAAAAAATATCTAATTATTGGCTGGCAGACAATAATTCAGCTCTCACAGGGCTGGGAACATTTGTGATCAAAATGAAATGTCTTTTTTTCAGAGGGTTGCAGAAGCCCAAAATTGGAATCAAGTAGATTTGTTTTTGTTTAAAGAAAAGATACAAATTGAAGATTCGCTAGGAGAAAATAAATCAATTGTTGAAGAGCACAGGGTCACTGACATTACAGAACGATGGAATTGCCCATTACTAAAATTACTGGAACAAATGTGACTTTTCTACTGAATGTACCCCAAAAAATATATAGTCTGTTAAAAAAATGCCACAATGTCCAGGAATTTGCTACTTACATGCGCCTCCATGTATGTCTCCGACAGCAAACCTTGGGCCATCTGTCTGAAGCCGACCCTCAGCATCGGCAGGTAAACCTGGTCGCAAGTTAAGGCTAATATCATATTTTTTTTTTCAAGTTTATCAGTCCCATATAAAGCTCGATAAAAATGACGACCAAAGCGCACACTGAGTAATGGGAATGATTTAAAACCCAAAGAGAGAAACTCGAAAAAAATATACACTATGGCACAATTTTGAAAGTCGAGGTATAAGTTAATTTTTTTCCCTCAACCTTTGTGTCAGTATATAGAAAGCATGGTGATTGGATTAAATCTGAGGTTTGGGGTTGTTTTTTTTTTGGGGGGGGGGGATGTTTTGATTTATATTTTTCAAAAGACACCCAAAAAACAAATGACAAACACTTTGGAACAACTTTCTGAACAAAAAATCTTACACCCAAAATATTTCAAGTTTAAGCCTCACCATCTTTCTGTTTCGGAAAAAGGATCAACAATCAAATATTTTTAGGTCTAGAATCCTGCCTTCTGATGTTCAGAAAAGGATACCCCTGTGACTCCGATATGGTCGCCGGGCTGACAGCATCGGGTGGTCTCTCCTCTTGAGTAGATGGTCATGCTGCGGGGGATGTGGCCCACGGGAACCTGGTCGCTATGTTCCTGGATCTTGACTTCCTGGAACTTGACAAACTTGGACCCCCGGGTCTGGAGGTAGAGGCGGCCGCCAGATCTGGAAGACACACGAAAAGTTAAATTAGGCCAAAAAAAATAATAGTTATGCTTCCGGTTTCCCTACCTACCCTATTCTGAGAGCCCCTACCCTAATTTTGTTTAAGGGAAAAATGAGAAAAAAACACCCAAAACCATCAATTTCTACCTTTTACCCTTGACTACACGCAGACGCCTCCATATGATCGTACACAAAAAAAATTGGCCAAAAAAAAAAAAATTCCCTACCTACCTACCCTATTTTCGAATGCCATGTGATCGGAAGCAGAACAATTTTTTATTTGTTGGCCTTAAGATTGTTACACAATCAAACAAACACAGGTGGAAGTCATTGCAAATACCTACTTTTTGCAAGCAATTGCAAGTTGCAATCAATTAACACACCTTGGACAATGGTAATTAATACAAATTCATCATTTAATTGCAGATAAAATAAAAACAAGTGACAAAAGTCCTTCATTCTAACCCCCTAGGCCCTTTTGGCTAGGAACCATCCACGTAAAAATTGGATTCGCCTCAATTCTCTGAAATCATCCGTTGTTTCTTTCCGTTCATCTTGTTTTTTTATATTTGCTATTCAGCCTCAATCCTCCAAAACCTCAAATCTTAAGAGGATTTTGGAGGATTGAGGAGAATTAGGTTAAGACATGTTTTGTACGATCTAGGCACAATTTTCGTCAGACAATCTAATGAAGGATTGTTAGGCTACTCTAGTTGACTATTTGGCAGCCCGGTACCATGACCGGTCACCAACTGCTGTTCACATCATATCGCAGAGCAAGAAGCCAGAGAGGTTTCATGATAACGTTAAGAGACGTTTGCAAGTTGGCGTACGTTACATCACGAATAATTGTATGCCTTGTATATCATGTCTGTTTGTTTGGTTCTCTCTTTTTAATCTAATTGTAACTGAAAGGACTTTTATGCAATGTAAAATGTGATGTGTGTAATGTTTATACATGTAATGCATGTCTGTTTGTTGTTTAGTTGCTTGTTGGGTGTGTTTGCTCGTTTGATGTTGGTGTTTTTTTTAGGGGGGGTAAGGGTTGTGTTTGTGTTGGTGATCTAAATGGCTTGTGTGAAACTTTTTACCTGTTTTTTTTCTTTTCAAAATCATCTGTTGTATGGAATGTAAATTTTCACATTTGGTGTGTGAATTTTATGCTTTGTATCATGTCTGTTTGTTTGTTTCTCCCTTTTAAATTTGACTGTAACTGTGACGATATGAACTTTTAGCCTGATTTTGTAAATATTGTAATTGTCAGCATTTATGCTGTTGTGTACAATATATTTTGTTTTTAATAATAAACCAGAATAAATAAAGAATAAACCACTAGTCGATTGATGGTCCTTGCTGAACTCGATGTATTCTGTCAAGTTTTTAATAACTCACTTGTTAGCTTGGCAGGCTTGACTTGGGCACATCAGTAACGGCATGAAGGTAGGCGAGCCAATCTAGAACAAACAGGAACTCAGTTGACAACATGCACCACTAAAGAGTAATTCTGGCAATCTCGTCCAGAAACAAAGAAGGATTTGCTGATTTGCTGACATATTTATAGTGCAGATCTTGCACTAGAAGTTGTTTCTTTCTTCATTTTCCTACTTTTAAAGGGCCTTTGCACACATAAGGCCACAATTTAAAGGGGAAAGAATGTTGTTTCCAGTCGCCACTTCTTTGGTTGTGTACAAAATCTATGAAGAGTCAAATGCATTTTCAAAGTATTTTCTAACAAAATTGAAAATGTTTCTCAGTCCCAGATTCATGTCTTCTCAACATTTTTGCTTTGAATGACTTTCATTGCGATTAGATATGATAAAAAAAAGTGGCATCAGGATGCAACATGCTTTCCTTTAGAGGGAATATCAACATATTGAAATTCTAAGTTCCAGCGTTATGGTATTTTAACAACATCACTTCAGTATTACCAAATTATTATCCAAGCCTAGTGTCAAGTTTTCAGATTTCTTATTATTTTGCACTTACCGGTTGATAGGTCTCAGCGCCGCACTGGTCGCAGGTGTACGTTGCCACAGTCATCATCGGCTTGACCTCCGTGCAACGGGTCACGATGCCGCGGACCGATGCCAGCTTGCCGATCTTGTCGGCTTTGACGTCCCGGATCGACAGGGCTTTCTGTTGACTCGGCACCTTGAAATAGATCTCACTGGCAAAAGACAAAATGAAAAATTGATGTATTAACTCTTTATTATTTCGACACTTTCAAGTCAATCCAATTCAAAGCAACATTTAGGTCCAGTAAAAAAAAAAATAAGAAGTTTCTCGTCCGAATTTCTGATAAAATGAGGCAGGCGCTTGTTTTTCTCTCCCCCCCCCCCTCCCAAGATGGTGGCTTTTCCAGGATGGCAGATGGATTCTTCCATTTTCTCGACTATTTTGCTGATACAAAATTGCGTCCAAAGGAGCCATAAGCCTTTCTACATAGCTGCAATTTTGTTCTAAACAAATAAAGAGTGAATATATTGACACTAAATGTGCAAAATATATTGCAAATGTATGAATTAAAAAAAAAATTGTGGCCGGGATAAAATGGAAGTGGGCGGGTAGAAGAAACTGTTAGAACTGATCCCCTTAGACAGATCCAGAATCACCCGTTATCTGCGCACAGGTTCCAGTGGAAACACTTGTTCCTTGCATCGCTCATTAGCTTAGAACTAGACCTAGAACCAAACACACGTTCTGGTAGGAACTAATTCCTTTGTCTACTGATCCCTTTAGAACTAAGATCCAGAACCACTTACTATCTGCGCATGAGTTCCGGTGGAAACTGGTTCCTTGCATCGCTCATTAGTTTAGAACTAGACCTAGAACCAAACACAAGTTCTGGTAGGAACTAATTCTTTTGTCAACCAATCCCCTCGGAACTAAGATCCAGAACCACTTACTATCTGCGCATGAGTTCCGGCGGGAACTGGTTCCTTGCGTCCCGGACCTCGCCAGGGTTGGGACCTCGCAGGCGCTGCTCCATCAACAGCCTGTGCTCAATGTACACGTCCAGAGCATCCTTCTGTATCACCTGAAGACGGGGAGACAAAATGAGAGTTTTTAATTACTGTCTTGCACTTTTTCTTCAAAATGGAACAAAAACCAGAACATCTTTTCACAGGGTGTTAAGTACCGGTAGGTGCTTTCTCTGTACCAAGAAGGCTTAACATTTGGATGTGGTAATGGCCTTTAGTAAAGAAAAACTTGAGATCAAGCAATCAGTTAGAGTAAACAAACGAACAATTTCAATTAACCCTCCTATGCAAACATGCATTCTGTGCCAAGTCATCCTTTCAGTCAAAATCAATCCAGTGACTGTTTTCCACAATCAAGAGCTCCTAGCCGACATCAAGCAAGATTCACTGGCTGTGACTGTTAATGCAACTTGACACAGCTATGCTTTGACTGTAGGTGATTGATAAGCCAGCTGTGACTACCACATGCCTGAATTTGTCTTACTAAATTCGACTAGTCACAGTGCTTGCTTGAAACATGATCTGACTGTTGGTGACTAGCCTGTGTAAAAGGCATGGCAGGGGAAGAGGATCGATTTTTGGACTGTCTTTGACTGTTCAGATAGCACGAGCATTAAAGGAAAAAAGATTTCCAATTTTATGTCAGAATGCGTGAGTTTTCTCCTGACAACTGTGAAGTATTTTTCTTCTTGTATTGAATACTTTCACTGTCTAGAGTTATGGACTCTCAATACCACTATTTTGGACAAAGCAAAGTTTACATGTATGAAGTTGTCACCTCTTTCTCCCTATAATCTGGCAGTAAATCAAAGACGGCGTCAGCGAACAGCTTGGTGTATCGCCGTGTGTTCTCCACGATGGACTCGGCCAGCTCGGGATCGATCTCATTGACGTCGTCCAGGTCAATCGTCAAGGCGACCTGCTCGCGGTGGGCAAGGGCAATCTGCATCGACAAATAATCGAAAAAATTATTGATGGCAATCAATAACCAACAATAACCCATGGTCAATGATGATTACCGATACATTGATTTTCAATTCAGATTGAAGTAATGAAAACCCGCCATAAAATAATTGATATTTATTGAGAACAATCAATAAACCATTGTAAACAATAGTCAATGATGATTATAAAATTGACAGTTTTCGTGACTTTTTGATGTCATGCAGGACAATAACCTGCTGTGCAATCAAAAACAATAATGACCGTAATCCATGACCAACAATATTCAATGGTTATTAAATGATGATCAGTAAATCAATAAGTTTCAAGACTATGCACAAAGTGAGCATTTTTTACTTGTGTTACTCACCAGTTGTCTGGCATACTTGAAATTCTTTGTGCCATCATCTCCCTCATTGTAGAAATCTGACATAAAACTTCTACACTTTTCTATAAAAATAAATTATACAACATTCTAAAACATCATTGCGAATAAATTTGTAAAAAAGCATTTCACAAAAACTTCGACAAACATGATAAAATCTACTCCTAGAACTATGAGGCTCCGCGTGAGCGGAGCCTCATAGATGTAGAAGCCCGCAAAATTGTCTGCAGCACAAAACACTAATAAAGTACAAAAACGTCCATCAAAATGCAGACATTTCACACAGAACCGCTGCACAGTTTGCCCCTATACTCCGTACTTTACCTCTTGACATACTCACGTATCTTGGGCACAACTAACATAGGTGGATTCTGTCGGTTTTTAGGCCAAAATGATGAAAAATATGTCCTTTCCGCACTGAGCCAACCGAACACTTGAAACGTGCACGCATATGATCGAGCGATGATTTTCGGTTCGCTCGGAGCGCGCCGCGGGGGGTACGGTACATGCACTTGTACGCATGCACATACTATCATTTCGCCTGTACCGTACCCCCCGCGGCGCGCTCCGAGCGAACCGAAAATCATCGCTCGATCATATGCATGCACGTTTCAAGTGTTCGGTTGGCTCAGTGCGGAAAGGGCATATTTTTCATCATTTTGGCCTAAAAACTGACAGAATCCACCTATGTTAGTTGTGCCCAAGATACGTGAGTATGTCAAGAGGTAAAGTACAGAGTATAGGGGCAAACTGTGCAGCGGTTCTGTGTGAAATGTCTGCATTTTGATGGACGTTTTTGTACTTTATTAGTGTTTTGTGCTGCAGACAATTTTGCGGGCTTCTACATCTATGAGGCTCCGCTCACGCGGAGCCTCATAGTTCTAGGAGTAGATAAAATCAAGTGGCAAACTTTGTACTTCTTTTTGCAACTGAATAAGTCGTTTGTATTTTAAGTAGTTTTTGCCAAATTGCATAGTTGAACACATGTAAAAACAAATATTTTTAACAGTTTGTGAAATTGTGGCATTGTGCCCTAATTTTAATTGGCTTTAATTTCTGAAAAAAATATTCCAAGAAAATGATTTGTGCAATTATTGTGCATGGCAATAGAGCATAATTAAAAGCGAGACATGCTCAAACAATGAATGTCAACACTGGAAAACTCTTTAACCAAAGCCACAATTAAATTAAAAATATTACCTTTTATTAAAAATTAAAGTTTTAATAGGGGGCCTACATCATTGACAAATCACAATGTGAAAAAAAATGCCGCCTTTTGCCGGTTAGGTTGACAATAAATTGATCCAAAATGCAGCAGTTTTCAAAAGACAGACCTTTCTCGGCGATGTAGTCTTTCGCAGGCATGATGAATAACAAGTTGAGGTCTGGAAATCGAGTTTCTGGAAACGAACTTTGCCTTTGGGAAAAGAAATTCACCACCAAGTTTCACCAGCCGACAGAAACCGTGCATCAGCAGAAGTTGTCAACAAAACAAACGTGGCGCGAAACTTGGTCACGTGGCAAGTTAAATGCCCGACCCGCGAGATCGCTGGTACACGACCGCACGATATCCACTGCACAAAAAGTCGGGATTGTGGGAACCAGTTATAATGCTCTACACCTAAAGGACATGCGCATGCAGAAATAAATGTCTTGTTTGCGGTATTTCCACCTTTTTGTGAAAAGAAGTTTATCTGAATTTTTGAAGAAAATAATGCACTCTTTTATAATGTTGAAATAATGGTAATAAAAATGGAAATAGACTGGGATAAAAAAAAATATCAAGATGGAAAATTTAATCCTACTTCATTTTCTTAAAAAGCTACTTTTTTTTACTGACACTCCTGGGCTTTGAAACACCTTTTGAAATTGTTCAGCATGGTTTTCTGTCATCATCCAGGATTTTTACCCCCAAGAACACTAATACCAACTTTCTGTCCAAATGAACAATCATAGAGTTTACTGTCAAATTGGTGTCCAAATCATTTAAATCTGCATATGGCCACGTGTTCTGATCTTGGGCAAGACACTTTACGACAGTTCTTCTCCAACCCATGTCACCCAAGAGGGAAAAGAAGAGATTGCATTTAACTAATATAGCCTGGTGAAGTACGTCAAGCATTTGAATATACCAGTTGTCATTTCTGTGGTTACATTTGGTCATGTCATATGGAGGTAGAATTAGAAAAGTTCGTTCGTAAGGATTGCAGTTGGACACAAATACATGTAATCCCAGAGGCCCAAGAAAAAGATATGAAAGAGAGACACAATTTTAATGAATAACTTTTTTTCAATTCATTACATTCTTTATTCCATATTCTTTCAAGCTTTTGGGTGATACCGCCTCACGATTAGACTTGACTCAAGTCCACATATTGGCAGTATTCTGGTCACAAGTAGCCTCAATTCCAGTGGGCTGTGGCAGTTGAATCATGTTGCCGCTGCAGAACAGCCACATTAATGCCAGTATCTAGGCTTGTATCCAAGTCTAAATAAGCACGTACCCTCCATAACTACAACATCACAAGTCAACATACCGCACAAATTTAATATAGCGCTCGATAAAATTTTCAAACACATATTTTTTCATTATAATTTGCACGATCAAAAATTATTTTTTGGTCGCCAATACAGTACATATAAATATTCTCTCTCTAATTAATAATACTTATTTTACCCATCAGAATGTTATGTTACCGTGACAACAGTTATGTCACCAAATCTGATGAACTTTGGTGGAAAGAAGCAAATGCAATGTGTTTTGATCTAGCCAACAAGTTGAAGACCTTGTTCGCCAGTACCCACTGCCTATATCTAAGGGTGCAATGCTGTATTAAAATTCCCGTAGACACCAGTGCTAAATGCCCATACTTCAGCCACTGCGCGTCATGACAATGGACCGATCTAGTAAGCACCGCCCCATGGTGTTCGGACCAATCACAGCCGTGATTTATGTCCGACGTGCGTGCACGCGCGTATGATGCGCGCGGCAGGAACATGCAGCGTGGCATTGGAGAGGAGCACGTGTTTATTTGCCCACGTGCGCACTGGGCGGAGCTTACTGGATCGGCCCATTTGACGCACAAAATGCCGATGCACATGGCAGTTTGTAAGAAGTTACGTCATTTGAGAGAGACCTATTAGAAACCGCACATATAAACAAAGCATGACGTCATCACCTACTTTGCGGGCATGACCAAACGAACATCTGGTCAACAAATTTGTAAAAATTACTTTATGTGATTACCATTATTATTACTTTTTGATACACAGGACATATTGCAATAAGAAAGCAGTAAGACCGTAACATGAAAACAATGAAGTACAATAATAATTATTATAACAGCCGCGATTAAGTCAATGAAAATTTACACTTTCAAACCGAAATATATTTTCACAAAAGCACTTTGTGTGTAAGCATGTTTTAACAAAGAAAACAACAACAAAAATCAAAGACACCTATATATTTTCCTTTTTTTCATTTTAAGAATAAAACCTTGAACATTCTGTATCTGGTGGCCCAAAATTTCCTTCCCATTAAATATTTACATATTTGTAATTCCTATTAAACTTTGTCCAACATTTCCAAATATTGTACTTCTAACAAGTTGTGCACATAAAGAATTACACAGTAGATTCATAGAATCAATTTAATAGAATTATGATTGTGATCAAACAGTATTTCACAAATTCTCAGCTAACAAATATTGTTAATATGAATTTATACATTATTCTCGGCAACGACCAACATAGTTGCTTAAATAATATCGACAACCATCTTGAACATGTAAGTAACTCCACCAAAACCTTAAAAATGTTAGTCTATAGATAAAATTTTAGATTTGATTTAGAAGCAAAATATAATGTTAAATTTAAAAAAAACTACTTTCAATACAAAGGCCCATGTGCTATCATACTGAGGGTTTTGCTAACCGTTTTAGAAAAATGTGTTATGTGGAAGGGCGGATCCAGAACCAAATTTCAGGGGGGGGGGGAGAGGGGCAAGAGGTCTTGAGTATTTTTGTCCAAAAGGGGAAGGAAATGAAGTATATGGTATGGTGCGCTATTTCCACATTGTAATATTAAAACTAATAGGTCTGTGTAGCAGATGGCTTGCGAGCGATGCACGCAACGTTTTAATGTATTTCCTGAAAATTAAAAAAATACGGATAAGTTAATAATAATCCTTGGGGGGGGGGGGAGGGGGCATGGCCACTTTTGCCCCCTCCTTGGATCCACCAATGTTAAGTATAACGAGCAATGACAGTTATTATGATTATCAATAGACAGGAGGACAAACATCTTGAAATATATTCAATAAATAGTTGTGATGCTGGCAAAATATTTCATGACACTAGGTTTGCTACAATTCGTATGTTCAATGGCTTTGAACTGTGGTTGAGCTATGTGCCCAATCCATTTGGAAAATAGACAAACAATTCTTTAAATGTTCATGGCCTTACATATGTATGGCCGCATATGAATTACATGGCTACGACTAGCGGCAACACATGCTTCAATGGGAAGTGGAGTTAGCCACGTCCACAGGCAAATGTGTTATTGCTAGGCTTGGCAATATTATTCGGACATGGCATAAGTAAGTTCATAATACCTGTTTCATAAACTTGATAAAAAATATACGCATACAGGTATGTGAAAATATTAAACCACTGAGAAAATGTATCCAAAAGACAAGTCCAGTGGCATGCAGCCATTTTTGTGGGGGCACCAGGCTAGTACATAGCAAACAAATTTGCTTAGCACAAAAAAGTCTGGCTTATAAAAGCAGGTTACCAGCAAAAACTCCATGTGATGTATATTGCTCATGATTAGTATTCAGCTGTTGTTTGCTATAGCATGAAAATTACAAGGAGCTTTGGCTGGTAAACTGCTTTTATAAGCCAGGCTTTTTTTGTGCTAAGCAAATTTTTTTGCTTAGCAGCGCCGTGACATTGGGCCCCTATTGTGTAGCAAAGATTTCAAATACACACAACACAGGTCACAATATTATGACAGCAGGGGCACGTCTCAGTAAGCCTTTTGCGAGTTTAATTTGAATAAAATCTGGAACGTCGACTTAATCCAATGCTTTGCACATTTTTAACTTTGCATTCTCCCGACCAAAGTGACTGTTACTATATCATGTGATTCCGGGCAAGCCTTATGCTAGCAACCCCCAGCTCCGGCATGGTCTGGTGTCTTTGTGCCATTCTCACCCATTGTGAACAATGTATTGGCGCTGAGCGTCTCTTACATAGTAACTAGGCAAGAGCTTGCCCCGAAGCATGTGATTAGCAACAGTGTTTTTGGTCAGGAGAATTCAAATTTAAAATGTGCCAAGCATTCTGAGCAAGTCAGTGTACCAGAAGTTTTTCAAATTTAAATCCCAAAGGGTATGGGCTCCGTGCGCCAACAAAAGAGGGCGCTCTTTCACCTAGCAACGACGTCCCATGGGCGGGACATTTAGCTAGTTGACGCGCACCGTTCCTTGTGTGTGACGCACGTACACCAGGGGATGTACTCGCAGTGGTACATGGTAAGGCCGGCCGCGCGTCACAGCAAAATATTGTAGTCAGGCAAGATGGTGTCGGTCGGTTACCCCCAACTGTGCTTTCTTTGCCGGTGAGGGGGTACTTGTGAACGGAGTGGATAGGTCACTCGCAAATGGCTTATTCATATCTGGGTAAGAGTTCTGGACAAGTGGCGCACATACATTGTATCAGGTATCAAAGAGCAGGATTCTGAACAACTTCCCGCAATCAGTGTTGGTGGGTCAAGCAGTTGCTGATGAAAATTTCCCCGGAACACGTGTCCGGGACAAAATGCAGTGCTTCTTCCTGACGAAGTGAATGATTCTACCCGCAACTTGTCCGGAATTCGTCCTGGATATGAATCGAGACGGGTCTTATGCTTCCAAATCTCTTTATACAGTATGATTACATACAATTGTAAACTAATTCTTTGTGCAATTATTAAAGTTTATGCATCCTTTTTTTAATATGATTTACTGGAAGGACTGAAACACAAGCTTCCGTATAATACTGTAATTGTCGAGACGAGTTAATATTCTATGCAAATACAAAATAAAACTACAAAAGTATTCTTGTTTTTTCTCCACTATACAATTAAAAGTAACGAAACAAAAATAAAACACTTAATATTCCCAAAAAATACAAAGTAAGTCCGATTTTTTTTGGTAAGTAACGCGACAACAGAGTAAGACTACATAGAAGTTTTTTTAACTTAGGTTTCTTAAAGGGAAAAAAATACAACACTTTCGATTGAGTGATATACATTTGGGGCATTTCTGTGGCATTCAAGAACTGGTGGGCTTTGAAACAAAATGATAAATAATCAGCCGAAGCTGACCCTATAAATTGTAAAGTTTTACTTGTTCACCGACTCGTTCATTGTGTGGAATGTATACGAATGCCCAGTTGAACAACAACAAAAAATTAAGTTACGCACACAGATGAAAAAGTTAATTGCTAGAAGATTATGGTTTTCCTATGAACCGAGATTGCTAATTTGGTAAATAAAAA